ATTCCACATTAATATCATCAGACTCCATGATGTGCTCTTTAACGCTCTTTGCAATGCCTTCAAATCTTGGCTTTGATACCAAGTGTACGAACAAACTTCTCTCAAGTCACCCATGTGGCTTTAGCGCTCTTCTTAAGCACTAAATCAACCTAACCCTTGCAAAGCTTGGACTTGAAAGCAAAAAATATCTAGAAAAGAAGTAAGGAGAGGTTATTGAAATAAAGGAATACTTCACTAAGGAATGAAAAATTACACACTTGGTTTCTTATAAATTCTGGATGGTTCCAAATGAGGGGGAAGGACTTTATTTATAGTCCTCTGCCAGGCCTTAGTGAACTTTCTATATTCTTTGAATTGATTGACTTCTAGATACTTCTACATTGTCCTATTATAAATACAAGATTCTAGAGTTTTTCAAAGCTATCCTAGAGCTCTCCTTGAAGCTCACCCCTTCAACATTCTCCAAAATGCGGTGGATCCTTCTAGAGTCTCTTGGATTGTTCTCCTTCTTCTGGTCTTCTCTAGAATCTTCTTTCTCATGGATGCCTTGATAACTATTCTGAAGATGGCAGAGTGTGGAAATTGGATCAACGTATCTAAGAGATCACTTTATCATTATTTGCAAGCAGAAGCTCTTAAGATCCAACACACTAAAATCTCTTTAGTAGTTGATTTTGCTCTGAGGTTGTCAACAGTTTTTTGCGACTGCTACAGTTGGTAAAATGAGCACAAGGAAGCAGCTCTATGGCAGTTAATAATTTTTAGCGGCTGATATAGTTGCTGAAAACGAGCACAAGAAAGCGGTTTTTGAAATTGATGTGAGGCTCTTAGCTTCTACATCATACACATAGTAGCTAAAATCCATTTTGTAAAAGAAAAAAATAGATTAATTACAAAATGACCCAAAAGCAACCACATAAGTTTGTTATCCATATTAGCGAAGTTTTAAAACAATTATCTTTCATAAAACTAAAGTTTTATATTAATAATTAACTTAACAGAAAAACATTCCACTAGTAAATAGGGTCTCAAAATTTATGACTTTTTTAAGAGGCTTTATTTTGTTAACGACCAAAGGCATCACTCCAGATTTTGGGAGTGGAAAAATCCCATAAAAAATAGGTGCATCATCAATATTTTCTTGTGGAAAGGTGTTCTAGTTATCTTTATCTAGTTGCTTTAATGCCACTTCCCCCTTCAAAGACTATTGTCTTTCGAAACAATAATAATAATTACTGAGAATATCTAACATATTAAGCACATTGACTCGCATGCAAAGATTAACCAACAAAAAGATACTTTTTTTTTCATTTTTTGGATTGTGAAAGTAAGATTTCACTCTTTAGAATAGGAGCATATACCAGTTTAACAAAATATTAAACATTCACGGCTTAAAATTTTCATAAATTTTTAAGTATCCCAACATTTTCTTCAAATAGAATTGCAAAACTATATAAACAGTAATTTGACAAATTTAAATAATTCTTGTGTAGAGTACATAACATAAACTAAAAAATAATGAGCTTTAAATTAACAGAATTTTATAACAACCTTAATAATTGCAGCCAACTCAAAAATAATGTTGGGATTGAGATCGATTACTACAAATATTTTAGTACCATCTTAGTAAGTTATAGAAATAACTTTCAATTGTGGATAACATTCAAACATGAAAACACAACCAATTAAATAATATATATTTTATTAATCAAAAGTAAAGCACAAAAAAATTACAATACGCATGCATTAGGCTAGTTACACCTAAGCATGAGAGTGAATTACAGTTCGACTTCCATGCACGGAGCTACTCAATATTTAAATTAAGAAATTTATAGGCTTGGTTCAAAGAATATCATTCTTTCCATTTGTATTTTGCTTTGTTAACTTTCTTTCTTGACCATTCTTTGTCACCTGATAATTTTCAAATCTATACACGTTGTGCAATCAATTCCTCAAGTGTTACACTAATCCAGTGGCTGTGCAATTTAACTCAGAAAATCAAAAATCTTTGTATAGAATTTTTTGCATTGTTGATTAAATCGTGTAAGGATGAATCAATGTTGTTTTTTGGAACAAGTAGCCATGAATAGGATTTAAATAGAAATGTTCTTTGAGCTTTGTTGTTGGTCCAGCTTGCCTTTCGTATGGTCCTCCAATCCAAGTCCTCTTCCACAGTGCCGCCTAACTTGATTTTCAAATTCCTCTCATGTTATATCACCCTTGTCCAACTTATATACCAGTTCCACCATCTTCCTCCAATATTATCAGAATAAAATAATCTAAATGCCAAAGTTTAGCTGCAAACTTGTACCAATGACAATAAAACATATTTTGCTTAGAATGGTGTAAAACATACCTATCAGAATTAATATTCTTAAGGAATCTTTTACATCTTCTGCAACCTTGCACTGATTTTGCCATATTTTCATCATAGGTATACACAAATACACATTGTTTATGGCTACAATATAGTCGATGGCAGCAAGCCGATTGTGGTACGATCTGAAGGGCTTCAACTCTTCTTGTTGTTGAACTTTTATGTATATGAATGCTGGGAAACTCTTGCTTTAAAGAAGCCATGCCGTCGTAACCAAAAGTTTCCCCAATAACTATGTATATTTTTGTTGTTGATGGCTATCCCATAGCTTTTAAGAACAAAGCAACTAAATACAAAAATCAAATGGACAAGATATATCCAAATCAAGAAAAATCAAATAGAGAAAATATGTTTTCCCAACTAAAAACCTAAAAGTTTCAATCATATGTGTTTCAACAAAAACTAATATTTTAACCTTAGAGAGTATTGTACTCTAACGAAAGCCTTAAAATCAAAGCAATTCTAAGAAATTATATGAAGTTGACCATGGAAATCACATCTCAAGGAAAAATAACACTTCCAAACAAACAAGAGAGATATGTGTTGCTTTTCTACCAAGCTCGACCAACAAGCAAACTTCAACCAAAATATAAACTAACAAGAAGATGGACTACAAAAATGCATTAATCTCTCTTTCTACCAAAAAAATAATAAAAAGCTTTCATCATGTATATTATTATATCCAAAAAAACTCATGCACAATATACAAATTTGTTGAAAAAATCAAAAAATAAGTTAGGAAAATAAAATTCCAGAAAAACTTCCATCATGATCCTCATCGGTCATTTTCCTCCAAATATTTCCACCTAATTGGAAGTTTAAGTCGAAACCAGTTGCGAAACTAAATTGTTCGAACACATGATTGACCCTATCAGTTTCTTTTGGTTGTGAATTTGTCATGGCTTAATAGATTTTTATAAGTCGTTTTATGATGCCCAAAAAGTCTGCATCACCTGTATTTGTGGAAATTTTTGGACTTTCTTATGTTATTTTCTAAGAAAATTTTTACTCCTCTTCTTGGAGTTTCTTTTAGACCTTAAACTTATTGACACACCTACACATATGCCCGAGCAATCACATCAGACCACTCCTTTGCATAATTGATATATGACCTTCATAAGTTTACATATATGAGAAAATCAAATCTTAGTATTAAAATAAGTTAAAGAAACAAAAAATATTGTGCCTTTACCCACCTATTAATATAATCTCTCATGAAGATATTTATTACATAGATGATGCTCATTTTATCCAATGAATGCAACAGCATGAATGCATCATAAATCGATAAATTGTTATATATATATCAACTCCGTATCTCTCATTTCAAATTTGCAACTTATGTTGCTCAAAATATATTTTTGTATCTTTATAGCTTTTTGTTTGTTGTCTTCATATCTTCTTCTAGATTGATTTTTAACTTGCATCAAGAACCTATCAAATTTGAAAGTAATTATTGAACACTCATTTTGAATCTCCATTGCATTCATTTTTGACACTGCTTAAATTCTACATAGAAAAAATGTAAATGTTAATGCGGGTAAATGTTTTCATAAGAAAAACTTACATAGAAATTGCATTCATTTATTCTGATTAGATTAAAACAATTTGGTTTTTTACATATGATTTTAAGAATTAGACCAAATATGTCGGTTCATTTCAAGCTAAAAAATGTTTCATCATAAAACGAGAATTAAATCGGGGTTAAACCAGAGAACCGATCTGTTTTGTCAAAAAAAACTGGCTAGTTCAAATATTATTCAATTTTAGCCTTTAGTTTTGATTTGATGACCATAAATAATATATTTAAATAATAAAAAAGATAAAATATCATTTCTTAAATTTTTTATTTAAAATATTGTATAAAACATTCGAAAGCATTACCTTAAATTAAAATAAATTTATTGAATTGATAAAAATGATTTTAATATATCATTATTCTATTTTTTAAATTATATTAAAAATAATTTAAAATTTTTTATATCATCCAGTTCAATCTACAGTTCTACTCCGATTGAACCATTAAATCTTAAACATTGATTTCTTTCGGCTCGATGTTCGGTTTGGTTTTCACAATTTTGAATTTTCATTTATAGGAGAATGATAGAAGTTTCAGAGGCCCGTGTATGTCGTGATTAGGTTGCAGCCTTCCCAGCTAGCTCAAGCGGAGAGGAGGAGAAAGATTGGGGTTTCAGAGGTCTGTAACTTGTGATCAAGTCGTTGCCTTCCCAACTAACTCAAGCGAAAGCATAAGAGGAGAGGGAAGCAAGTTTTAGAGGCTTGTACATGCGGCGCCACAATCAAGTACGAGAGGAGAGAAGGACAAAGATGTGAGTTTTGGAGGTCTGTATACACCATGATCAGTCACAACCTCCCAACTAGCTCTAAAATCATATGCTTAAATTTGTTTCAGTGAACAACAAATTGATGGAGGGAATACATGGAGTGAAACAGAGTTCCTATAAGGTAAATTGTAGAGTTTTATTTTTATTGATAATATTTAAATTTTGGGTTTCATATGTATAATTTTTAAAGTTTGGCATTCCATCACTTCATGTATATAAAAAACCCCTTTTTTTAAATTAAAAAAAATGTAATAGTTTGTATTGTTTTTAAAGATAAGTTCAATTTTATATCATCGCAAATTTCTCACAGACGAACAGGCCAGGCCGCTCCGCCTCTGCATCGTTCTTACCTGTACGCCGAGCGGTCTCAAACGCCTCCTTAACTGCCATCATTCGCTTCTCTTTTCCTACCTTTATCGATCTCACAAGTGATGGCAGCGCCGAGCCAAGCAAGCTTGCTCCTTCAAAAGCAGTTGAAAGGTTCGCTTCTAGATCTCTAGGGTTTCCTCTATATTCCCCGTGCATCGCTCCTGTGGAGGAATGATTCGAGGATTCACCATGCGTTTATCTTTGTGTGATCAGATCTTAGTAGAAATCCGGTGGATGGCTTCTCGGCTGGACTTGTTGACGATTCTAATATCTTTGAATGGAGCGTCACCGTGATCGGGCCTCCGGATACTCTATAGTTAGTGATTCATTTTGAAATTTAAATTCTTTGACTGTTGGTGTTCATTCTTACTTTTTTGGGGTGCAGGGGTGGAACCAAATTTATTCTTAGAGTAGGCAAAATCATCAAATATTTAATTTTCTAAAGAACTGGGTTAAAACACATACTGAGGAGGGCAAAATTATAAAATTGTTTAAAATACATACGGAAAACTACATTTTACTACTTATATAGAGAAATCTCAATTTTAAGGGTGTTGCCCACCTTGGACATAGCCATATTTCATACCTGGTTGGGCGCTTATGTTCTATTTGGAAAGCGGAGATCTTTTCCCTTCTTTTGTGATGATCTTATGTATTTTGATATTTATGACGAGTTAAACGATGAAATTGGTCCAAACGATTCCTTAATTTTCTTGAATAAGATTTTGTTTTCTTCTGAGAACATTGATTTTTTTCTGTCTAACATACCTTAATTTAATAGGGACTAAACGAAGGGGTGGATTAGTAAGTTATGAAACTATTATTGAGTATTTATTTTTATCTTGTTATAATTGAGAATTGAGATAAATGTATTGTAATATATTTATTTGATTTTTTAACTGAACTTTGGCTATTGCTGTGATTATCAGTTCAAATAATCTCATTTATCTCGCTTCTTAATTTATGATGATTTAAATGTTTAAATTGGTTTAAATTATTTTAAAAATAGCGATATTTAATTTTCTATAATGAGATTTTGGTTCTTCATGGAGATAGGAGTAACAATCAGTCCTTTTCTTCTATTTTCTAATTGGAGGATTTCTGAGAACATTTTTTTTTTTGTCTAAGTCTAAAATTCCTTAATTTAATAGATAGGGCATAAATGAAGGCAGGATCTAAAGTTATGTAACCATTATTGATTATTTTTTTTTATTTTGTTATAAATAAGAGTTGAGATACACGGATTGTTATCTCTTTGCTTGATCCTTTAACCAAACATTGGATATTGATGTGATTATCAGTTTAAATAATCCTTCAGGGAGCTTTCAGATGATATTCCTCATGCATGATTGTATGGAATTTTAGAGTTTGTTGAGAGAATTTTACATATGATGAAATTAATAAGGGTTTAGCACCATATATAATAAAATGACAAATTTCTTTGTTTCATTGCATTGTATTGTTAACAATGGCGGCAATGAACCTCCCATGATAAATGCTATTTAGTTATATTTTCCCTCATAGACATTGGGGTTATTTAGTTGAAGTCGCAGATGCCTATGCAGAATATTTGGAGAAATTATGGAGGCTTATCATTTGACTTGGTAAATATTGGATCTGTTATTTCTGCAAAAGTTAGAAAAATTTTGGAGTCTAATGGATTACGGAAGCTTCTTCTATAAGATTATTACTTTTCTTTGGAGCACATATGATGGCTATTGATGTAGGATCATAAATTGACATTACTCTGAGGAATGTTTGTGTTTTTACTCTAGTTTCGGAAGTTTTATATAATAAAATCTATAATCATTAATTTAGGCATTTGTTTTTCTTTGCTTTAGCTGTTTCAAGGTTATTGATCATGAATGAAGGCACGATACCTGGCAATGGGAACTATAGGTTTTATTCAAATTAAGGGAGAAATATTTTAAAATACAGGGGAAGACCTACTGATCACTTTTTGTATAAATATTTTACATTTTTAGGAAATGCATATCTATATTGTAATTTTAATAGCATAGACAATCGGGAAACATCTAATCACTAAGTTATGCACAATAATCTTAATAGAAAAATTTGGAATATTTATTTTTAACCAAGAATGCAAGTTAGAGGAAGAAGGAAACTTAATGAGGGACAATGAGAATGGGAGGTAATGGTAGGATGTGAAAGAGATTTGTAAACATAATGTCATATTTTGAAGTCCCTTTTAAATATAAGGAAAATTTATATACATAACTCACAATTCTTATGTATTTACATTTCTTACACAAAGTTAGATATTTACACTTATAACACTTTGTTGTCATAAATCTATGCTTGAAAATGTGTATTTCATTTTTTAAAATTTAATGATGGTGGTATTTTTGATGAGATATTAAAGCTTGAGTGTTATAAATGTATATATATTAAAGTTTAGGTGTTAGATATGTAAATACATAAAGAATTGTGTGGTATGTATGTAAATGTCCCTAAATTTAAATATGGAGGTATGACAAATAATCTGCTTAGCAACTATTATGGTTGACATATTGCCCTTGGAGTTCAAAATATGTTCAACCTGGATATGAATGGCTTCCCTCAGGAGACTTTATGCATATTTTTTCAGGTTTTATTGTTTTTTTGAAAAATATTCGATACTTGTTGGGATTACTTCATCATGTTATTATAATTATTTTTTATTTAGTGCTGGAATTTTAGTAAAATTTTATGGAATGCGCTATGCAATTTCTTGAGTGCTTGTTGCTCTGTCATTTGCAGTGATGGTGGTTATTTCAATGCTATTATGAGCTTCCCACAAAATTATCCTAACAGTCCCCCATCAGTTAGGTTCACCTCAGAGATGTGGCATCCAAATGGTTTGTTTGCTGCCAGTGGCTTTAGCTTATTTAGAAGTCTTTTAATGAAATAATAACAATAATAAATCTTTACTTTTATGCAAATTTCAGTTTACCCTGATGGTCGTGTTTGTATATCAATTCTTCATGCACCTGGGGACGATCCTAATGGCTATGAGCTTGCAAGTGAACGTTGGACGCCTGTGCACACGGTACATAACTAATTTGGCAAATTTTATATTTAGCTATCTAGCTATAATATCTTTAATTTGGGAAGCTTTGTTCTTTTTTGTGTTTCTATTCCATTTCAGTTATTTTTCTCTTATTTATTTATGCTGTGATAAGGATGGTGATGACTGCAAGAGCAAACAGTGTCTTGATTTCCAAATTTTTGTCCATAAATTAAATTTTGGATGATTTGGAATTAAAATATATTGCATTATTATTGATCCCTATGTATTTTTCATATTTCAACATTGCAGCGAGCTTTGATTTGGTCAGTTAACCTAATTTTTAGTTCTAGAGAGAGATCATATTGGCGCTTTTATGAGTGGTTCTAGAATGACAGGTCCCTATGGGTTCCAAATGCCTGTGTCGCAAAAAATGCAAATATATTTCCTCAAGCAGCTGCCCATGCTTGTGTATTAGACATCTGATAAGTCACAAGTTTACATGAGAGTTACCAAATGCATTTGATAGGTTGTGTGCCAAGCTGTCCAATTGCCATTCTTTTTCATAAATTGAGTTCTGTTGTGAACCCCATTTCATTTCAAGCCAAAAAATGTGTCAAGAAGTTTAAGCTGATTTTTGCATCAACTGTGAGTGCTCTAATGACTTTTGCTCTCCTAAATCCAATCCAAAGAGCAACTTTTAAAGAAACGTCATGTTGTATTCACACATATCTATAAGCCGTGGATTAGTAATTGAATGGCAGTTGAAGTAAATCTTAGATAGGTAATTTGTTTCTTATTTATTTAGAAAATAAAGAAACAAAAATATTTTAATTGGGCTAAACCAAAATCTTAGATAGGTAATTTGTTTCTTATTTATTTCTTTTTTTTGAATTTTTCACGTAAAAACCCTAGTTTCTATTATAAATTTACCTTTATCTTTATGTGAGCTGAATCTTTATACAAAAACTAAGACATTAATCTCTCATTCTTTCATTATGAATATCTCTAAGCACAAAAGCACTCTTTCTTAAAATTGCAAAATGTGTCCACCTTTTTTATATCATTTTAGGTCAATTTAATTAATACTAGTTATAAATACCTTCCATTAATCAAGTCAATTTTTGACATTTTGGCTAAATTGAGTTATTTAGACTATATAATTAGGTTTCACTAATTAGATGTAATTATATTTTGTGTGATCAATACATTTTTAAATTCTTGCATATTTGGCTTTATTTCTGTACATGATTATTGTTTATTAATTTTATTTTTTGATCATAACTTCTTCACTCGAAATTGAAAGATATTTTTTTAATTTTCATTTTTAATAGTAATAATTAGTTTCATTAGATAATTTGCCTTTTTTCTATAAAATATAGAAAATATGTTTTCTCATTCAATCAAACACTACTTATATATTTATATTAGAAATCCTAGATCCTTAAATATCCAAGTTAACTCCATGTCTTTGCCAATTGAAAGAAAAGAGGGGCAGAGAGGAGTTGGCTTTTCTCCCTTTCTCATCCTCATCCTCTCTCTCTCTCTCTCTTAAGATGCGAGGACTCTTATCATTAGTACCATATATTTAATTAGAAGAGAAACTCCCACTCATCTCGTATTAATAAATTATTCGGGGGAGTTTTCTTTTTAAATTAGCTAAGAGAACAACCTGGAGAAGCTCAGCCAAAATGTCATCGCATAGTGTGTTCATGCTATAACTAGTATCTCTTGGGTTATTGTTGATGCAGTCAACTTCTTGCTACTACTATTTAGCACTACCTTTTAGGGCTTAGGTTTATTGTTGCTACTATGAGCACCATAACCTATAAGAAATGAATGAAATATCTAAAAATTATTTTCTTCATGTTGTCACAACTTCAATGGCATTGCCAGAAACTCACAAAATGTAGAACTGAGTAAGAAATTGTTCGACTCCTCTCCTTAAAAAAGGCAAAAAGTAGTTAAGTCTATGATTGAATAGTACAATATCTTGGATAATGTGCATAATTCTGTCCATTTCAGGAATTTATAGTATTTTCAATTGTAATTGTCCCCCACCAGATCTTGTTTCCAACATGCAATAAATTAATTTTTCAATATACTTTACATTTTGTTCCAATCTATGAACTTAATTCTTTTGTGATTTCAACATATAATACACTACTGTATCATGTATTGTATGTTAGTTTAACCATACTAGGGGTTTTGTATTCCTAATATACAATACAATACACTTGTCAATAATAGTTTGTACGATTAGTTGAGATTTTTTTGCCTAGGGCTAAACACACTATATTCAACTTATTACATTCTATTGAGCCCGTCGACGAGAATTAAGAGTCTAATTTTGTTCTCTATTCTCGATAATGTATATTGCATTCCCTTATGGTTTAGGCCAGGAAGTAATAGTTGTGTTTTCGAGTGTCATGTCAACACCATATGAAACTTCATGGAGGTGACACCTCTCTGGTTTATGAATATCAACATGTTTTATTTTGACTTGACGTGTGGTATCAAATGGAGGTGCCACATCATTAGTCAATATTACTAAGGCAAAATGGTTGATATACTGGGGCAAACTATGAAAAATTATATAAATGCCCTTAGTGTTTTGAAGGTGAATTTAGTCAGGCAGATGAAAATATGAATCATAAAATTCTCTTATTTAGCTAAAAATACTTGTAATATCCAGAAAGTTCATTAAAGTGAGAAAATATGATAAAATGAGAAAAAGTTGGAACATCTTGAACGCATTATTTTTATCTTCAATAAAATGGATGTTATCTGCAATAAAATGGATGAGACCATGATCATTGATTTAATGGTGCCCTATAAGACATTATTTTACATAACTTTTTAACATGATTGAGGCTTTGTTTGGAGAGGCTTTTCGGCTCAATTGTGGTCTATAGAAAGCCGAGAAAACATTGAGGCATACCTCTGTGCAAGCAGCTTCTTTAAAATTTCTTCTACCGGAATGACATATCTCCCCCATTTCAGGTTGCGAATTTGTTGTAGTTTCCTTGCTGTAGTTCCACTGTTATGTAAATAGAAAGATTGATATTACCCTCAATAGGAGCCACGATCGCCCAATTTATCGCTTATGTTTCCTTGCTTTGCTCCCTATCTGCTTAGCTCAACCAAAACTTCCAGACAATGGTGAAATTTGAAGCAGGTGTAATGGAGAGATTCTTTGGAGGATGTTTGCCTCGAGGACTGCGCTCTTTCTATAGAATCAATTAAGAAAATCTTCTCTCGAGCCACCGCCTCCATCAAATCTCGCATCTCCTTCTGCTCCGCAGAAGGCTCTTTTCACAACAAAAGCAGTGGATGCATTTAGGATCCCGGACCAAACTTCTTGGCGTCGGTGAGATCTTCCCACAGGTGTGGTCTTCGCGAGGCTATGAGGAAAAGGAGTAGAGCGAAGGTGCTAGGGATGAGGCGGTTGTCATTGGTGCCAAAGGTGGGGAGCTAGACACTGATAAGGTTGTGGTTGTGTGCAGAACAGGAGATGAGGGAGAAGGGAGGGATTTGGCTTTTGGTGGTAAGAGACGTTGCACCATTGATGGATAAGTGTTTCTTGGAAAGAAGAATGGTGTACCAGTAACATCGATTTGGATGATGATGAAAATAAGGATGGACCCATACTAGTTGAAGTGCTAATCTGATTGTGAGTTCGTTATTGGGTTCTCTGCCTCTTTTAGCGTTATATTAACCATGCTACTGTTTTCTATCTCTATTTGGAAATTATTGAAACGGAATTGGAATATATGCTTTTTATTTTTATGCTAATTCAATCAACATGTATGTTCTTTAGCCGATCTTGCTTGTTATTTAAAATTGCAAATAAATTTGTAGACTTGTGAGAGCGCAAAGTTTGATTAATAACACTTGCTAGTAATGGATAATAATTTGAGATGAAACCATTTTTTTCATTCTTTTGGTAAATATAAATACATCTTTTTAGTGATGTTCAGCAGTTCTCGCAGTCGCCAACTCTAGCATAGTAGAGAAATCACTTTATTGATGTGGTGAAGCATCTGAATTGTACCTAATAAACTCTTAGAGTTGATCTGAAGAAATGGTTTGTGATGGGCTAGACTTCGATAAGGACAAATCAAGTCAATGTTCGTTTCTCAGTCTAGCTTAACCACACATATCCATGTTTATTTGTTTAGCTCAAGCAAAGCTTCAGATGATACAAGAAGTAATTCATGAAAATGATTAAAAAATTAGAGTATGTGGATTGATTTTGGGGATGATGTGTACAATGCTATGAAGAAACTTTGCTTGGGCTAACTGAGTGTATTCCGAGCTAGCAATCTAGTAGCCGAGCTATGGAATTGCAAGGAGGATCACAATGCAACGATGAAGGAGGCCATTCGTTACATTGTCAAACAATTTAAGGCTTGCAGAACTCGGAGATGATATATGTATATATATATATATATAATGATGGGTTACTGTTATTTTACTGTTATTTTAATCGCTTTAATGAAGATTGACATCTTTTGTGCTATATATGTTTGTAAGTTTGATGGTGTGTTTGGCTTGGGTTGTTTTTCTTTTGCTCATTTTATCCAATGCCATGTGAAGCTGCTGACTTTGTTTTCTTGTACATATAATTAGACATTTTGCTTGAGCTTGGTTTCAGCTGGCAAGGATTATTGATTGATCTTATTCTGTTGCAACTGCAGTTTATCTCTTTGGTTATTTGTTATAAATATTTTGACTTAAAAGTGTTTTCTGGATTCAACGGATTTTATTTTTGGATTGCAGATTTATTTGGAACAATGAATTCATTATGTCAAACTGGGATGGATCAATCAATTTGTAAATTATAAAAGTCTTTTTGAAATATTTTTAGTTTGGTTAAATGCAAAATACTATTTTTATGTTTTTAGTTTGAAGTAAAATGAATTAAGTGTAAGTAAGCCAAGCCGGCTTATAAGTCGGCTCGGGCTCCGCTCGATAAATGGGTGATGAGCTGAGCTTGATAAGCCAATAAGCCTAGCTCCAGTCAGTCCCGACTACAATTGTTAACTTGTGAGCTGAGCTTGATAAGCCAATAAGCCTAGCTCCAGTCAGTCCCGACTACAATCGTTAACTTGTGAGCCGGCTTGTTTATAAAAATTCTTACAAGAGAAATTGTATAGTGTTACTGAAATATATTTTGTAGTTATTTTGGTCTAAAGGAATTTGGAATTGAATTTTTTTATTTCATCTTATCATTTATGTCTAATGTTAATAAAAGTCGAATTGAAAAAAATATATTTGTTTTTGTAAAAAAGAATTTCCCTTGTTCGTAATGCCCAATAGTGTAGTATACAATGCATGGACTAAAGTTTAACTACTGATCTATGCAACATATCAAGGTGACATTTTTATTATTATTTTTTTATAATTTTCTAGCAAAATTTTATAGGTTTAGCTGAGAGACCATACATTTGTGATGTTTACATCTAAAAAATTAAATATGTACTATTTTACTATAGGCGTACATGTTTTTTGGTAAAACAAATATAAGAATGAAGATTTTTTATTTATTAAAAAAAACTATTTTTGCTCTTTATATAAAGCAACTATCACTATTATCTTAAACAGACATGTGCTGAAGAACTTCATTCAAGATAGTACAAAGAAAGGGGTTAATCCAAACAATTTTATCAACTTAGTATGAATTTAAAACGCTAATTCCTTAAAAGCTACAGTTAAACGAACTTTTGTAGTTGGTTTTTCTACACAGAACTTACAACATAATCAATCGTTGTTGATCAGGGCAATAAAAACGATCCTTGCTTTAGTTGCTACTAAGCAACCTGATAGCTGAAGTTGAGGGCTTGTGCCATTTAACTCTACCTCTTAGACTGGTGGAATTTTTGCTATCTCAAATTATTCATGCTTGTCAATAATGAAAAGGGCATCATAAGACATTGGTTTCCATTGAGCAATAATACATATGCTTAGCATATCATACATATGCTATTTTGAATAAAGCACAAAATATTAAAAAATTATGGATAAAAATGATGTTAATTATGAAAGGCTACTAGATAGAAAAAATAAAATATTATTGGTAATGAAAACAACAAAATTGATGCTTAGGCTCTAGTGCTCAATCACTCAGAAAAAAAAATTCATATAAATACAAAATTTCAAATCATGTAAGTGCTATAGATGTGTTTTTTGTCTATGTGGTGATACATAAACCTAGAGGCGTTTTGAGGTTTAAGCCTCAAATCAACACATTGTTCAAAGCAAGAAGCATTATACTAAGTTTAAAACGTGCATTAAGAAGTAACATATTAACAATCTAAAATATTACATATTAACATCTTAATATTGTAAAAATACTAAATGTTCAACATAAGAAGTAATATGATAACATCCTTACATCAAATATTATAATAAGAATGACTATTTAAACCTTAAGCTAAAACATAATAACATAATAATTCAAAATAAGTATGATACACTTAGTCTCTCTCACACTCCAACTTTATTCCGTCATGGTAAAAATATAATAGGTCGCTAATGTTAAATTTTTTAAATTTGAAAGTCCTAATCACTTTTATCTAGCAATTTATGTTCTTTCTCACCTTATTCTTCATTTTATTCATATTCTATTATTTGTCCTCATCCTAAATTTAAATCAACGTCCTATTTTTTTAATAAATATTAATTAATCAGAATATTCATTATATTTTAAAATGATGACTATGTTGATATCAACAAATTTAATTCCTCCCTCAGTTGTGTATTACATGGTTAAATAAAAAATGTTTATTAGAGTTATTTTACTTATAGTTATTTTAAGAAAAACTCTTGATCTAACTGCCCATCTCACCAAAATTGAGATAATGTGCAGCTTGAGACTAGCCTCACATTATGTGCGACAGAAGCCTCATCTAATACTCAGTGAAGCGACAAAAGTCTCATCTAATACTCAGTGAAGCATGAGCCTCATTGAAAATTTTTCAAATAAGCGTTAAGATGGCCCTCATATTAAGCAAACTGTAAACCAAGCTTCCTGATTGACTGAAATAGACATCTGACCTTATGATAGTCCAATTTTGAAGAGCTTCCATCAAACTAGTATTGATGAAGTATTACTAGCTTGGTGGCAATTTGGCACACTGGCTATTGATGCTTTTTTTTTTCTATGCAGCGATACAAACCTGGAGGTGTTTTGAGGTGTAAGCCTTGAAATGAACACATTGTTCAAAGCAAGAAGTATTGTACTAAGTTTAAAATGTGCTTTAAGAAATAACATATTAACATTCTAACCCATTAATATGTTAAAATATAACATATTAATACCTTAATATTGTAAAAGTACTAAATGTTCAAAATAAGAAGTAACATGATAGCATCCAAACATCAAATCTTATAATAAGATTAGCTATTTAAACATCAAATGAAGACATAATAACATAATAATTCAAAATAAGTATGATATAATTAGTCTCTCTCACATTCCTATTTCATTCTATCATAGTAAAATATAATAGGTCCCTAATGTTAAATTTTTTGAATTTGAAAGTATTAATCACTTGTAACTAGTGACTTATGTTCTTCCTCACCTTATTTTCCATTGTATTCATATTCTATCATTTTTCATCATCTTAAATGTAGATCATCATTTAATATATATTAATTAATAAGAATATTCATTAGATTTTAAAACGATGACTGTTGATACCAACAAATTTTATTCCACCTTGTATTACATGGGTAACTAAAGAATGTTTATTAGAGTTATTTTACTTGTACTTTTTTTAAGGAAAACTCTTGATCTAATTGTCCATCTCACCAAAGCTGAAACAACATGCAGCTTGAGACGGGCCTCACATTATGTGAGACATAAACCTCATGTAATACTCATTGAAGCATAAGCCTCATTGAACTTTGCTCAATCATTATTCCCCAAAATCTTTACCCTTCACGTTACCTTATTGGAACTTTTTATATAGCATGCTTTCTGCTGCCTAATAACTATCTTAATTGGCACTTTTCTCAATTATATATCAACTTGCAGACTATAATTAAAATAGTACCATCCTATTTGTAAACAAACAATGAGTGGTCAGCTATCGGTCTTTGTGAACCGATATCTCTATGAAAACTTAATGAAAGATTGAAAACTATGAAATCAAGTTAAAGAAGCTTTTATGAATCTCTGCACTTCTCTCTTCAGCTTGCACAAAAGTTGGTCTCTGTGAACCGATATCTCTATGAAAACTTAATGAAAGATTGAAAGCTATGAAATCTAGTTCAAGATGCTTTTATGAATCTCTGCACTTCTCTCTTCAGCTTGCACAAAAGTTTACTAGGTTTTGCATCACTAAGCAGGATTTTAGCGCATGGCTGTTAGATTGATGAGGTTGATTATTTAGTGCTGTCTTTCCTACTTTGATTATGAAAAAAATGGTTTGGAGATCCATATCTTTTTGATTGTTCTAAAACCTTATTTGTCAACGTTTTTGGCTTCTAGATAGAACTTTCATCAAATCCTTCGTTATTGGAGTAATGATTTTTTTCCCTTTTCTATCCAAACATTCATATCTTTCATTTTCATAGCCTATGTGTATTCACTTTTCAGATTTTGATCATAGCTTCTCTTTTCATAATAATCACGGCCAGAAACTCTCAAGGAGATGGAGTATGACTTTTTACCAATTATCTTGGTGTTCCTTTGGCAATCTAAATGATAGACTGATGTATGAAAGTATTTGGGCCTAAGGTACAAAGCATATTTGAAGCATAAAACATAGTTAAAGTGCGTTTTGCTTTTCTATGCTGTTTTCTTCTCTCAGCAAGCTTTTTTGTTGAGCTGTATGCATAATACTAGATAGGCTATGCATTTTGTTATAGGATATAAACTTAGTACATGTATAACAATCCTTATGAAAGGATTTGATTTTGATTTGGAAGCATCCTTGGACCAACTTCTTTGAACCAAAAAAGGCTGGATAAAAACATCAAGACTTCTCTTTCAGGATAAATAGTCAAGTGCTAGAACCACCTGATGATGAAGGAGGTGCATGTCCCCACACATCTGTTCAAATTTGTCAAGAGTTCTACTAAATTTAGATTGAGAAAGTATGCAAGCTAATATCTTTGAATACATAAAGCCTTTCACATAGTTATTTCTAATGGATGCATTGTAACTAGATAAAAAAAGTAACGCCAATGTTCTTACTTGAACTTTGAAGGACAGATGGATTTCATAGAGTATTCCATTAGAACATGGATGAAAAAAATAGGCTTTTCTGAAAAGAAGCAGTAGGAGGTGTGTTATCTGGGATGATAAAAAAAAGACTAACTTGATTTTCTGCTAGCTGGTGGATACACAGTTGGAAACATCTTGGGTTTAAAACTTGTTCATGTCTTCCTGCAAATTGTTACAATTGTAATCCGTTGGCTTTTCATGAAGTTGTTTTCAAGTTAATTACTTAATTTTCTTTAAATGAAATAGACAACGTTCATTTTAATGACTAAAGTGTTCTGTGCCAGGTTGAGAGCATAGTTCTGAGCATCATTTCAATGCTTTCAAGCCCCAATGATGAGTCTCCAGCAAATGTTGAAGCTGCGGTAAGTGGGGGCATGATCTGCCATATATGACAGCTCTTTCACGTCTCTTACCCTTCGTGTTTAACATGCTAGTCCATTTTTTAGAGTGCTAGTAATGACAATCATTTTGCAGATTATTTTCAGTTAAATCTTCTTGTGACGTTTTCCCAAAACTATTAACACCTTTTTATCATGAGTGGAAGTAACTTGTCATTTTCCTGTTTTGATATTTGTCATGAGTTAGTGGTGGATATCTTGTGAATGCAGACCTTCATCCTGATCTTTTTCTTTTTTTTGAAATGTGTAATTTCTTTCTTTGGATGCAATTGAACTAAGGAGGGGTGTGCTTTCACATTTAGAGGGGAATCAATCCAATGTACCAAATGTGAAGAGAGGGATTGTGAGGATAAAAAGGCGGTAGAGAGAGAGATTGGAACCTTGGGATTTTTCATTGTGATTCCTGGTCGGAAGAGAAATGGATGGAATGGAGAGTATTGGAGAATGATAAAGAGTTCTTGATCGCAATGTATGATGAAAAGTAACTTCCTCCTAGCCCTTTATTAAAAAAAGAATTAAATTTAATACTATCATCTCATTCATTTTCAACTAAAATTTTGTCGAATTTAAAATTAAAATGTAATTATTCCAAAATGTTAATTCCTGCCTAGTTTAAATAAAAAATCCTAATAAAATAAATACAAATTTAAATTTGTGAATTAGTTTTTGTCTTGAAAGCATAATTGGTGTATTGTTCAAGTAGATTTGTCACTACCTTCATGAACTCTTTAAAGAGTTATTAATAAAAGGTTGATTTTTCTGACAAATCAAATATTTATTCATATACATTTGTCGTGATTTCATTAGTGATGATGTATTTTACCTTGCTGCTTTATGCAATGATGTTCTAGATGGAATTACAAGGATAATATCATTATTCATAAAAGTATAGCTGCTGAAAAACTACTTGTTAGCACAAAAGGCTCTAGGTCTTAGATCTTCAATGTTAAACAACAACAACAACAACAACAAATCTTTATCCCACTAAGTGAGGTTTGCTACTGACTCCTTTTTCTCCATTGTGTCCCATCGAGTGTCATATTTTCATTTTAATCTAATAAATTAAAATCATTTTTTATAGAATATGTCCGATTTTTTTTAGGTTTATCTCCACCTTTCTTATCATTATTCAAATCTAAAACATCCACTCTCCTAACTAGATCATCAGATGATCGGTGTTTAATGTGACCAAATCATCTGAGATGACTCTCTCTAGTCTTATATTCTATTGGAGCTACACCAACCTTTTCGTGGATACATTCGTTTCACATTTTGTCTCCAAGTGTCAAGCCGCTCATTCACCTAAGCATTCTTATCTCAACAACACTTAACTCAGTTTTATGCTTCTCTTTTATAGGCCAACAATTCTACCATCTGTTATGCTACAAAAAATACCCCAGCTGCTCTGATAATAGCTCAGATCTCTCTCTATATTTTGTGACAGTCCTCTCCTAAGTCAAAGCATAGAATTGCTCGTGTAGGTCTTCTTCCCAAATAACTTGGAAACGTTCCAACAAACAATCCTTATACTTCTCTCATGAACGGAGTGGGTACCTCATTGCTATCCACTGAAACCATACAAGAACTTTTCCATCCAAACATAACTCTGCCGCCATGGGCTTCTCTTCTCCAGTTAACCCATTTATTGCAAAATATTGCTCTACCTGATACACTCGCTCATATGCATCTTCCCCTTTAAAGATCGACATCTTTAGTTTCCTCACCCTCGCATTGCCACCTAACTTCCTCTCCCTCCACTATTTTCTCTAATGTATCGAGAGAAAACTCCCATTTTCGATCATAGACATATCCCATTCTGGCTTCTCACCTTTCTTTTTTTGTGCTTCTACATTCTTCTTGAATAACCCATTCTCCATTTTTTGACCCAACCGCCTCCCTCGAAAATCTCTAATTCACCCACCCTCTCATCTGATCCCTGGGAGGAGATTTTGATGGTTGATGCTATCCTTATTGTGTTCCTCTCATCTGATCTCTTTCCCTTTTGATTTTTCCAATGAATCTTCGGTTAACCCTTGGTTAGAATTTGCAGCTTGAATCGTCGACGTTGTCTTGGATTGCATCTTGATAAGCCTCCTCATCATCTCCTTTAAGTGTTCCAATCGGGTTTTCATGGATGGAAGCTTTTCTTCGATGGTTGCGACCTTCCCTCCATCCCTTGATTTAAGTTGGCTCATTTATCCCTCTCCTTCTCCGAATCATACATTTTCTTGGCCGCCATTATTCCCTGGAAAGCTTTTGATCCCAAAAGGCAGAACACTGTACCTCACAATTCGTTGTAAGCTCTCCTGCTAGTTGGAATCTCGATAGGAGTGTCTCATTCCGTTGTAAGCTTCCCAGATTACGAGAGGTTCGGTTAGTAGGGCACTTCCGATCCTAATTCAGTTGATGAATTCTCGGATCACTATTAGGGCACATCCAATCTTGCAGCTCCACACTCAAGGCAAGGATGCTATCTTGATGCAGGTTGCAATCCCGTCGGAGCCTTTCCAAGCTCAAATTGCGACTGTACATGAAGATGGTGCATGAGGAGGCGAAAGATAGAGTTTCAGGTCTTGGTAAGCCGCGATCCTTCTTATTAGGGTCTTCTCAACTAGCTTTGATCGCGACTGTATGCGAAGACTGTACGGAAGGGGGTGAAAGATGAAGTTTCGGGTCTCGGTAAGCCGCTATCCTTTGTCTCTAGTGAGCTTAACTCGCGAATGTCGTGGCCTGGACACCGCGATTCCATCGTTGCCTCCTTAGGTATGTTGCGGTCTCGACGTTGCTTTCTCAGCTGGTTCTTATTGTGACTATCTCGAGGCACACCACGATCTTTCTCTTACCATTAGAAGATCGTGATTCTGCCCTTGGCTTTTTAGATCGCCAAATCGCAAAGGAGTTGCCCAGAAATTTATTGCTTTGATACCATTTGATACGATTCGAGGAAACCAACACGATTTTTCTTGGACAAATCAAATTCTTTTCGTTTATAATCCAAAACAACATGAATATAAGATAAACACCTACAATTCGAGAGGTAGGCAGACAATCTTTCTGAATTCCTACAATTCAAGAGATAGGAAATATCTCCCAAATCCTAAACCTAAGACTCCTAATAATAATCTAATGCATAAACCCAACCCTAAACATATTAGCTCTACTTATACTAAATAATAATAAATGACATAAGACAAACTTGCCCTTAGATGCACAAAAGACAAAATTGCCTTTAGGTGCACTAAGGACAAAATTGCTCTTTGGTTAGATGCGAACGTAACAGTCTATTGCCAATATATTTAGGACTAATGGTTAAAATATAACATAATTTCTTGCGATAATAAACAATATCTCCAGTGTACAAGTGTTTGATGGTGAACTACACAATTGGAGGAACTTATTGGATAAGGGCATTGCAAATGCCTATAATAGAGGCATTTTATCATGCCTCAATTATCTTTGAAAAGTTGATCTAAGAATTAGGATAACGATCATTAGTTCTTTAATATAGTCATTGACTTTATTTGTAGAAAGTGGTCAATGGACCTAACATGTTTTAACACATCAAGGAATTGTGCCGTAATTGTGCTAATTTCCTTGATGGATGTAACATAAGTGGCTGAACTATGAAAGCTAGATACATCATTTATTAAATTGGATTGACCAATCTTTGATTGCTTTAACCTTAAGAAGATATGTAGAAACATAATAAGGTGACCTTAAATTGTATAAAAGAATAAATTTTGTTCTTCGTTATATGATTTTTTAACATGAAGTTTCAGTAAAACAAAATGAAAGTGGCTTGAGTGATCTCACTCACTCATGTTGAAGATGAGAATATCATCAAAATATATTTCTAATATTATGTTAAATATGGATGAAGAATGTGGATCATCATAAAAATGTTAGGTCTTGGTGAAAGTTCAAAGGACATGACAAACAATATCTATTTTGTGTCTAAATCAGAATTTTTACTTATTAATGGGTTTAAGTTTAATCTGCTGATAATCACGTCTAAATCAATAATGGAAAAATATGGACCCAACAATATTTAACATTTCACTCAAGTGGTGAATGAGAATTTTATAGCGGATAATGATACTTTTGACAACTTTACCGTTAGCATAGATTCACTAGGATCCATACTTATGAGCTAGATGGGTTGTAATTGCATAAAAATTTAAGTTCTTTTCTAATGAAGTGTTTTTGTAGTAACTCATCTACTCGACATTTTAATTCAAAATGTTTATTAGGTATCTTGTGATAATGAGGTAGATATGGTAATGGGACATGATATGTTGAATATGACAGGTGAAAACTCATTGGGTTTCTCATTTACTGTTATGTTAAGAAATTTTTAGTTAAAAACGCACAATAAATAGAACAATCGTCAATAGTCATGGACTATAATTCCTGAGAAAGTAACATAACAATCAGATCAAACTTTTTGTCAAGAAAATTGTTAAAACGATCCCTAAATTTTTTGCATGGGGTCATGCTAGGGATCATTTTAGTCCTGTCTATCTAATATATCAATTTAAGCTCCTGACCGCTCAAATATGATTCAAAATAATCTCTTTGTTGGAGTATTTTGGATCAATTTTGAGTTATAGATTATTTTGGATTAAATTTGAGAAGCCATGGATTCAGTTTAACACATTTGTTTATTTAGAACTAAAATGGCTCCTCATGAATAGTCTATGTACCATTTTGACCTTTTTCTCATTTTGTTGGTAAACATTTCTATTCTGTTTACACGTTTATTGGTAGAGGAAACATATATTTGTTCCACCAGCTTTTAGATGATTTCAATTTAATTTTGGCTCCCTTAAATTTGGAAGCATAAATATTGGTTTTACTATAGTGGAGAACATCCATATCAGAAAGCCGAAGGTGATATAGTATATTTCTATTAATTTCCATGAATAGTATTTTGTCACTATATCATATTAGAATAACTATATAAT